GCACATAACAACAACAACGAGGGGGTAATATCAGTGTAGGGAGGGTTCTTAACTAAATTGCTTCTGAGTTATAAAAAAAATCATAATAGACAGAGGCAAATAGAGGGAAGTGGGGAACAGAAGCAAGGATTGAGGTACTACGAGAACTGAAACAAAGAACGATCTTGCCCTACAACCATCACCTGTATTCAACCTTGTATTTTCCAGACAATGAAAAATAAATTTCTGTTTTTTAATGCCACTGACTTGTGGTATTTTTGTTGAGAAGCATTTACTAACTGAGACAACATGTCAGTCAACAAAAACCATATTACTATTACAAAAATAGGGACCCTATAATAAGGCAAGAAGTGTGGCATTTTATTTTCTTATAATATTGAAATTCAGGAAGCATTTTAATCCTCTATAAATATGTAGGCCAAACCTGTCAGTTGGATCTTTCAGCATCCTGCCCAGATCAAGAGTGGCTCCCGGTCTTGGAGTCCATGTTACCACATCTGAAGTTTTCTTAATAAGATTGTTGAGTTCATTCGGGTCATTTTTTAGGTTCGTTTCCTTGATATACCTGAGAAATAAGAATATCTCATGTAAGAAAGTTTCTTTTCAGATGCAGAAACTGCCTTCTACAGTGATAGAAATTTTTGTTTTTATTTTCTCATTTTTCAATTTGACTCTTCTGACCACCAGACGAAAGTAAAACGATACTTGGGCTAATATTCCTTATCAGGGCAGAATTACTAAGTCAAGGAGGGCTATATTTATTTTTAAAGTATAATCACATGGCAATTAGCACTGACTTTGGATGTTCTAAGATTAACTTTTATAAAGAGTTGAGAATTGTGCATTTATTTAATGTTAACTAAATGTATTGACATATTTAATATTTACATATTCTGTATAATTTGCAGATTTTGTACTGTTTAACAAGAATAACTCAATTTAATCTTTACAATGTCTTCATGAGGTAGTTACCATTATTATTCTTATCTTTATAGAGAAGGAAAACATTCTTAACTGGTGTAAATAGATAACATATCCATCATCCTTTGAAGGCTTAGTATCAAGAGTTTAACATGAACAGTCCAATTTTGTTTTACAACATTTTCATGATGAAGTTATCATTATTGTGTTCATTTTATAGAGATAAATAAATATTTGGTTTAACATTCAGGTCTTACTCTTGACTACTAACTGAAAGGTTTAAGATTCAAGTACACCTAAAAGCACCCTGGAAGAGAAGCCCGGTGATCTACTTCTGAAAAATCAAGCACCAAAACCTCTATGGAGTATACCTGAGGCCACTGGAGTCAGAATCCACTCTGGGACAATCAATCAATATATTTTCAGGTCCCAGGAGCTCTGGTAGTTTGGTAGGAAGGAATTGTGCTACCAAGCCAATGGTGCATGTTTCAAATTCATCAACTGCTCCACAGGAGAGAGAGTGGTAATCTCCTATTTGATTAATTGCTTCTGGAAACCTGCTGGAGGGTCAGCTAAGAGTTGGTTCTGACTTAATGGTACATGACATGATATAACGTGACATAGTTACAAGTAGCACCATCAACCTTGTCTCATCTTACTAATTAGAGTCTCAAAATGGTTTACTAACTGGTCTTCCCTTCAAAGTGCATCATCTTTAATGTATATTACTATCTGATTACTTCTAAACCTAGTGTGGTAGAATTTAAGTGGTACAAAATTCTGTAACTTATTTGGGCATCTTTGTCTCTGCTCTCTCTCTCTCTGTAAAATAATTATACAAAAAATACCTATAAGCTCCTTGTTATGAAGTTTCAAATAGTCTAAAATGACCTAGTAAATAGAAACATTTGACAACTAATTACACAAGGAAGTGGAGCTGTAATTATGTTCAATAGCAGGATTACATTAGTGCATTATATTATGTATATTGTGTCCTTTGCATAAGTACACATTAATGCAATTCTTTTTCCAGTCTCTTAAATGCAACCTGCTTAATATTTCTTGAATTTGAAATCTTGCCTCAATTTCCCCTTCATTCATCAGTCCTTTCTTGATTACTATAATGGTTTCCACATTAGTATTTAGTATTAACATATCATTTCTCCTGCTAGCAACCTAACCTTTAATGCACATAGATCATGCCCTCTTCCTCATTGGATTCCTTTATTGGACTCCTCATGTCTTCAGGATAAAGCAAATTATGTCATATGGCACAGAACAAGGTTCATTGTCAGACTTCTTAGCTTTTCTCCTAGCCTTCTCATACCACTAAAGTAAATAAAATCAGCTGTGTCAACTCATGGTTAAGCTAACGACTTATTTTCAATAAGCCATCCCTGCATCCTGCTCCTATGCACACACGAAAGCTTTATTTATTTAATCTCCTTAAAACTGGGTTGTGTACATCAGCACAAGCTGCCATGTGAGCACAAGCCACTGTGGTTGGCTATTACCTAGGAAAAACCTAAATCTATACCATATTAAAAAAAGATTGAACTGAGTTGAGAGCAATGTCAGAGCCATGACCCACCTGGCACTGAGACCCACCAGGACCCAGCAACCCACCGGTACCCAGCTGGACACACTGGGACCCATCGGGACCCAGCAACCAGCTGGGAACTGCAGCAATTTTCCAGAACCCGTCACCACAAGCCGTGACCTAGAAACCCACCAGGGGTGAGAAGGACAGCTGGAATTTGAGTGAGAGAAAAGCAAGCCTGCCTACAGAATTCTGGTCTCAATGTGGCCAGCCTGCTGGGAACTGATACACATTGTAAGTCATGCTGGAACTTGAGTGAGGTACTTTGTGGGAGTGTGGGCTGTGGGGTTCATTTCTGCTTGGCTGGATCACGTGAGATCCCTTAAGCTCAATCAAAAGGGAGGCACAGCTAGAGCTCATTATTGAAGGGAAAACCAAGGCTTCCTAGTTTTCCAATCCGGTATCTGTGCTCTGTCTTGCATCTCTTCACATCCAGTCCATCAACTGCCTTTAGTCCAGGGCATCTTAGTTTGGTTTTACAGGCTTTTTCTCTACTAAACTGAAGCAGATCTTCCCTTGGATCAAAAGGCAGAAAGACACCCAGGCAGAGTAGCTGCCCCACCCACTTCTGGAGTGGTGAAGTCAGATGAAGAACCCGCTATCGCCTCAGACATGAAAAACTCTACCACAGCAATGTCACATAGGAAGCAGGCTATGCCACTCCCTACACAAGTTCAAAGCAAGATGTCACCCCAAAGAGTGACATAGTATCAATAGATATGTGAAGCCAGAAAGTCTGATGAAACTTTCTGATACATAATTCAAAAGAGCAATTATAGAATATTTACAATGGCTGAAAGACAAACTTGAAGAATTACAGGAAATTGCAAGCAAAAACCAGGAAGAGCTTAAAGAATTTCAAAACAATGCAGAAAAACAAAAGATGCATTAGAGGCTCTGGAAAAACAAGAAACCACAATTCAAAATATGAGGAACAATGTCTCTGATGCTGTTAACATGGTGGAGGGACATGAACAAAGTTGAAAAAGTTGAAGAAATGGAACACAGAACCAATGAAATAGAATATAGAATTGTCACCACTGATCTGCTAGAACAAAAAGCAGAATCAAAAAGGAAGATAAAAGAAGAAAACCTAAGAATAATGTGGGACACCATCAAGAGAAATAACATGTGCATCATTGGAATCTCATGACAGGAAGACCAATTAAATAAGACACCGAAAAAGTTGTGAAAGAATTATTAGAAGAAAACTTTCCAGACATAATGAAGAATGACAGAATATATATTCAAGAAGCAGAGCGAACAGCATATCGAATAGATCTCAAAAGAAAACCAGCATGACATATCATAGTAAAATTTGCCAGAACCAAAGAGAAGGAGAGAATTCCAAAAGCAGTGAGGGAGAAACAAAGAGTAACCTATAAAGGAGAACAAATAAAATTAAATGCCAATTTCTCAGCAGAAACCATGTGAGCAAGAAGACAATTGAATGACATATCGAACACTCAAAGAACACAACTGTCAACCAACAATATTGTATCCAGCAAAATTGTCCATCAACTATGAAGGAAAGATCAAGTTATTCACAGAAAAGCAGAACCTAAGGGAGTTTGTAAAATTAAGACCAGCATTGCAGGAAACACTGAGAGATGTCCTTTTTATAGAGGTGCCACAGAAAGCAGGATGGACAAAGTAGCAAAAACACCAAAAAGAATGCAACAAAATGATAGCAAAAGACCCTTGCCTCTTGATAACCACACTGAAAGTAAATAGTTTAATTGCACAACTGAAGAGAAAAATCGTGGTAAATTGAATTTAAAAACCCCAAAAGCCATCAATATATTTTCTACAAGAGAAAAATGAAGATAAAGAAAGACTAAAAATAAAAGAGTAGAAAAAAAAATGTACCAAATAAATGGCAACCAGAGAAAAGCAGGAGTAGTGATATTAATCTCTGATAAAATAGATTTCAATGCAAAAACCATCACAAAATACCAGGAAGGTCACTGAATAATGCTTATAAGGTCAATAGAACAAGAAGACATACCAATAGTAAATATCTATGCACCAAATGAAAGACCTGCAAAATATATAAAACAAACATTAACAAAACTGAAAAAGGAAATAGATAACATTATTATAGTAGTTGGAGACTTCAATACACCACTCTCAAGAAAAGATAGAACTTCGAGAAAGAAACTCAACAAAGATGCTGAAGAATTAAACCACACAATAAACCAACTCAATCTCATAGTTATTTATAGGCTAATGTACCCAAAAGAAG